ATAGCCAGCCAACAGAAAAACACAAGAAGAGAAACATCTATAATATAACAAGCTACTGGGAGCAAAATTATGAAAAAACTACCTCTAATAGGATTAAAAATTGTTATAACTCAAAGGTGAAAAATGAAACATTTTGGAAATTTATATGATAATATATCACTTTATAATATATAAAAATGATGAAATACAGCACAAATCTGATAGAGCTACAATACAAAGAGAAGATGAAAATAACATTTTTTCAAATAAATTAATGAAAACTCTCTAATATTCCTCATTAGTTTAGCCTTCCCTGTGCTAAAATCACCTGTTCTAAGAAAACAAAGAAAAGTTTTTAAAATCCCATATTGTAATCTTTAAACTTTAGAAGAAATAATGTTGACTTATTACATTTCATATTTTTCACTTTATGTGTACTAAACCACATATTTCCAGTGATTGAATATATATCTGAAATAGTTAAATAGTAAGAGCTATTTCAAAATGAACTATAAAAAAATGCCAAGTGAAATGTACTATTAATTTTTCCAAAGCAAGTGTTCTTTCAATGCTATGAAAGCACTTCCATCCAAAGCTGTCCGGACCATACTGGCTAACTCAATGGTTCCATGGGTGTGGCATATTTGCTTGTGTGGCTTTTTCACATGCTGATATCGAAAGTCTTTACTGAGGTTACCACACTGCTTAAGTTCAAGCTAGAAATAATAATCATGAGGCTTTAAAACTAAATATGTGTAGTGTGTGTGTATAAATGTATATGTGTGTGTATGTATGTAAACACGCACACATATATGTATAGTTTTATGTTTCTTATCGTGTGGGTTCCTATGAGCAGGCCATTCATGGTCATCTGAGGCCTATTTTCTTTCTACAAATCGCAATAGAATGTTCCTTGACTACCTACTGGATATAGTTCATATCATGAGGCAGACAGGGCCTGGGGTACCTGTTGACCTGATTAAGTGACTATCTCCATGGTAGTCTTGAGATAACTCTGCCTGTGATAGCATCAGACTTTGCTCACACAAAATGTCTCTCGATATATGGTCATGGTGTTCCCTTTCCTATCCCTTGTAAAAATTTGTCCCCCATTCCTATCCCCCCCTCTGGACCCTGTTTCTCATACCACTGTCGCATGATCCGCTTTTACTAGCCTGTGTGATGTCAATAAATGGCACAAGAACTTCTGCTCAAGCAGCAGAGTCTGGCCTTGCAAACCTGCTCCACACCTGCTATGTCCCTCATGACATTCCCACTGCAATACTCTAGGAATATATATTAGAAATATTTTTTAAATTACAGAAACTCAAGTGCCCCTTCAGTAATTATAAATGATGTCTACAAGTGCACTCTTATTTACTGAAAGGAAAATAAAGTTAGATGCACAGAAGTAATTGATGCTACTATATTACTGAGCAGTCACGAAATAACCAAGATCTGGGATGTGTGGAGAATCACCTACAGATTGGGATCATTCATGGGCAAGTCGTATAATGTCTCTGACTACAAGTTTCTCACCAGGAAAATGGTAATGATGTTACATAACTCAGAGTGAGGATTAAAAACATAACATATATAAAGGTATAAATTAAGAAGTGCTGTACAGAGAATTGTTCCCAGAAAGCTTCCCACCCCCCCTCCCTCACTTCTCTACAAGGATAGGACAGGGTCACACCCCTTGCTGCTAGGCAGGGGCTCTGTGTCTTAAAGGAAGAGGCACAATATTCTGTTTGTCTTTCTTCTCTGTGAGCTCATAAGACTGAATTACAAACTCACCCAGGGCTGTCCCTAGATGATCTTGTCATGGCCCATGCCATACAATTAATTAATAGTGCTAAGATTGGGTCTTGGAAGTATAGGAGTTTCCTCAGGCAGCTTTGCTGAGCATTTGACATCATATTTTTTTTTAAGATTTTATGTATTTTTGCACAGACAAACTGGAGCCTAGAGGTGCAAGGGGTAAGAGGATTCACCAGAGGCAGAGTGGGGAGTGTGGAGCAGGACAGGCAGATCTACTGAGGGGAGCAGCAGGAGACAGGAGAGGTCTGCTGTGCCTTGTGGGTCAGCTGCCTGGCCTGGGATCAAACTCAGACAGCAAAAGTGATAGTGCTGAGACTTAACCCCTAGGCCACCGGGGAGGTCCATCTGGCATCACATCTTTCATGGATAGTCTGTTCTTAGAAACTTGGGGGAAATAGATGATTTTGGTTTACAGCAGGATTTA